ATCCCTCAAGAGCATTTTGGACAAAGAATTCTGATTAAATGTCTTCAGCTTAAGTATGTTTATAGAAATCATGATAGTAAATTATAAATTTACATCTGGACTCCTCAAGGGTTGGCTGTGCAATTTTGAATTTTATAAGAGAAGGTCTGTGAAATTAAAACTATGGGGCACCAAATGTATTTTTATTATTTAGAGTGGTTATTTGTATATAACCAAAACAAGTATGGTTATATGTAAATAACCACATTGCAGTTTGGTTATTTATAAATAAACAAAATGAGATATTGGTTATTTAGCAAAAAACCAAAACATGAATGTGGTTATTTGCTAAATAACCAAAATTGCAAAGTGGTTATTTGCTAAATAACCAAAATCATGGAAAATTGGTTATTTAGCACAAAATTGGTTATTTACCTAATTTGGTATGGAGATGTAACAACCAAAAATACATTTGGCGCCCCATACTAAACATTTGAAATAAATGACTTCCTTTGCATTACATTTACCAGCACTCTGAAGCCATTTTGAAATGATGTCAGCAGGTTCTAGAATTTTGAGAACTTTGTAATGCCATGTTGATATTTTTTGTTTACACATCAACTTGATATTAAAAAAATCAGCTTTGGAAATGGCAAGTTTTATTTGGAACTTTTTTATTTTTCAGGCTTGATTTAGAGGTGGAGCCAATATTTGCATCAATGGCTCTTTATGATGGAAGAGTCAAGAAAAAGGTGTGGCTCTTACTTAGAGTACTTAGTAATTAAAATATTCATTATTTTGAATCACGTGGAAGAACTTTAGATTTCTAATACTTGGAAAAGGCATAAAATGAAGCATGGGTAAATTTAATTTTGGTGGTGCATAATGGCTCCAGGTTTGAGCCTTGGCTGAGTCATTTTGTCAGCTTTTTACTCTATTTGTCTTGCTGTGTCCATAGACCACTTTGATTCATAAATGGCTGGTGGATTAATATCCTTTTGTTTAAATGTAAATTAGCCCTTCCGGCCTCGTTCTCCAGACAGTACGAAATTCAAAAGAATACATTATCTCAAGTGAGGCCAGAAGGGCTAATTTAAATTTAAACAAAAGAATATTAATCCAACAGCCATTTATAAAAGTGGTCTATTGCATTCTCTTGTTGGTGTCTCTCTCTACCTACATGTAAGAATATTAAAAGATACCAACAGACAGTCTTGGAAAATGTATAGGGGAGGGGAGGAGAATGGGAGGGAAAGGGGATGGGAAGGGAGGGGAGAGGAAGGGGAGGGGAAGGGGAGCAGGAGGGAAGGGGAGGGGAATGGGATATCTACAGGTCCTGGAATGAAAGTGTTTAAGGTGAAATTTCAACTCCTTTTAATATCAACCTGAGTCCTGGGAAAGTCTTTGAAATTTGTTTCTGAAAAAGGATACAAACTCTGGATATCCTAGAAAGGACTAGAATTCCATCCGGGGGTATTAACATTAATCCAAGTGCTATCATTGTTCAGAAACTGGGGTAGGCTGTAAGGAGTAATGTTTAGGCCACTTTTATTGTGTTACCCCTTTACATAGCCTTTTACAATATAATTCCTGAATCACACATTCAAGTCATGAAAATAAAGGAATTGATCGCCAAGTTATATAAAATCTTGATCATTAAACAAATTCTCCCTGTCAGAACCTTAAACAAGGACCCTGACTATAAAAGGACACTTGCCCTGGGCAAGCCGTCAGTCATTTCACCCATGACACCGAACTGTCGACATCAACCAGTCCGTGACCGTGCGATATCGGCAAAACTATTGTAACCGAAAGGTCACTTGCAGCCAGTGCATATCTCAAACTTCTACGAATTTTGCCATTTTCGTTTACGGCAAAGAAAAGATGATCGGCTCCACTCAGTTGGCTCCACGGAATGTACACCCGCTTGCGATGTCATTTCTGTAAGGAAGGCAAACGGCCAGAGGGCTAGCGGTGAGGACTAGCTTTTATGACCTTTATTATCTTTCACAAAAATCCTCTTCTCATACCGGTTTTGTATTGTTGTAATAAAGTGGTTAGTTTCTTCGACGTTTTGTCTACGGGATTTCATGTGACACTTATACAAGAACTCCTCTGCAATTAAACAAGAGATCACGTTGGATAGAATTTTTATTTGAATCGCGCGCAGTTTCTCCAACGGAATATGTGGTGTTGAAATACGAATCCCGTGGGTGCTCATATAAAATAATTTCGGTCACGGATTGGAAACATGTCTGGTTGACTGAAATCCGATGGAAAACAAA